AACCCCCCCCCCCCCCCCAATCCCATTATACTGTGAGAAGGGTTGAGGAGGGCCAACTGTGCATACTTTCAGATAAATACAGATTAAATACAATCTTTTGTTTCTTTCCAGATAAAAAACTTCTTGTCAAAACGAGTGCTGATAATGTATTTCTTCAGCAAGGTAATCATGATCTTATGTTTTGTGACTGAGCAGCATGGACTAGAAGTGCATGAGTGTATGGGTTCTGTGGTGGCACTATGTACCTTGTGCATATAGTAATGGTTCTAAAACCTTTCTTTTAATCTATGGTTTTCCATAAGTACTTAATGTGAGTTTCATAGCAGGAGTATCCCATACCTGCATAAAAAAGAACAATAATACTTGTTTAAACTCATCTGATTATGAACTGCATTTTGCTTAAAGCATCATGTACTAGTAAAACACCACTAGGAACTTAAATGCAATTGTCTTGGTATACTAATTGTAAGATGACACAGCTTCTAGTTAACGTTAAAATTCAAGTTAACGTTAAAATTCAGTTAACTACCTTTTATTAGGTCAGCATGCCAAAAGAATTCTTTATAGTTTTCTTTTGTGGGAGAAGCAGTATGCTAGAATGTTTGGGAATTTCTCATGAAATATCGGTGCTAATATTACTATACTTTTCAGGCAAACTTGAACACTTAAACTAAATTTGCATAGTATTTACACAGAATTACAATTGGGTACTTGTCTTAGCATAATCGAACAATAACTCAATTAAGATTTACAGAAGCTTCCTCCCCTACTTTAGGTCTTTGTTTTTCAGGGATTTAAATGTTTCTTGCAAGTAGAGTTTACGTTTACATGTACAGCAGTGTTTTCTCATCAGTTACAAACTGGAGCAGACTGAGGCAAGCAAGATCATGAAATGGGCCTGGAGGAATTGTATTGCCCACTTAGCCCTTGAAACTAGTTAGCTAATGTACTTTATTTTCTGGAATTCACAACCATAGCTATAGCTTTGTGGGCAGCTTCTGTCCAAAAAGAATTTTGGTTCTTAAAAGATCAGCTTTCTTGGGTATTCCCTGAGATCTGTTGGCCTTGCGAGTCTTTCCTGGGGGGAGGGACATGAGCCTATCAAATATGTAGTACCTTAATTGAAACCTGTAATTTTGGTGCTAATATTTATAAAGGACACTCAGAATGCTTTGATTTCTTCTCAGCACCCAGAAGCCTCCATCCAGGCGGTCTTCTCTGATACGCAAATGCACATCTGGGCTTTGGAAGGTAAGTCGTTACTATTCCCAGCTGTTCCACTCTCACTCTGGCTCATGAAACTGCAACTAAAAGGATCAAATTCCAGGTTTCTGGGGCTCTGTGCTTTTCAAATGTAATGGAAGAAAAAATCTTTGAATTTTGAAAAATCTTTGTGTTGACAAAAACCCGACTGCATTTCAGATACCAGCATGAATAAAGGTCTAATTCACTTGTTAGTTTTGAGATCCCATGTGAGATCTCTTAGTTTATGCTCTGCAGACATTTGGTAGAGATTCCCAAACCCGGTTTCTGTTGCTTCTCTCCCACATAAACCTATGTATCACTTTTAATTTTTTTTTTCAGTAACAGATCTATGATGTCTCTTTACAACAGCTTTTCTGAGTAAAGGCTCTGAGTCTTTCTCTATTAATAACAGAGAGTTGAGAGAGGGAGGCACTCAGGTAGTAACTTAACAAATAAATGGAAAAAGGAGGTCTGCAGAGAACTAAAAGAACAATGACAGTACATACTGTCATTATGGTTGTACTATGGGATTTTCTTGTTTGTTTCAGGCATGACCAAATACTGGTATTGATAGAATCTTTTATTAGATTTGTCTGTGCAAAAGGTGATCTTTTTCCTAGGTTATATGTTTTATGAGCAGATATGCCAGGCTGTGTCAGATCTAAGGTGATGAGTTGGGACGTATAGAGTCAGGAGACGGGAATCACACATACAGTTCTCAGAAAAGCAGAAGATACCAGGATACCAGTTGTGTTTTAACTAAGGGCAGAGGCTAGGCTGTAATTTTTTTAAAATATAAACAAATAAACTGAGAAGGGGTTTAAAACTAAATCAAGGTTTCCCTCAAAGTAGTAGAGAGTTGTCCTCCTAGAAGCTGAACAAAGAAAGTTAAGTGATCTGGATGGCTAGAAGAATTGTGAAATAGGTCCTGTCTCTTGATTGATGTCAGGTACAGCTCCAGAGCAGTGGAAAGAGGGAGCCAATGCCTTTTTAAAATTTATTTTATATAAAATCTCTCTTGCATTACCATTAACCTCAAACTATTGTAGACCTGTCAAACCAGTGACAGGCTTAGTCCTGAAGCAAGCCAGAGCTGAGGTAACTGTCATTTGGTTGCAGTAGGTCCTGAAGAATCCCACCACACTAGTAAAATCTTCAGGCAAAACCATTATGTTTGTTAATGTTTCAGAAGTTGAGAATTCGGTAATTATGGGGAACTTTTTTTTTTTTTTTAAAGGTTTATCTCATTTGGTAGCTGCCTCCTTTACTGAAGACCAATTTGGAGTTGTCCAAACTACTTTGCCAGCTATCCTGACTACTTTACTGACTCTTCAGGAGGTAAAACCCGTTAACTTTTCCTTACTGCAGAACAAGTTTAGGAGAAGGAGTTTTGTTAATTTTATATTTTGACATTGCTGACCAGTCATAACATTCAAGTTGTGACCACTGTACAGGGCTTCTCTTCTGCAGTTAATCTAAAAAACCAGCTAGTTGCCACTATGTGCATTATGAAACAGCCAAATAAAAACCTTCTTAAGTTTTTAAAATGTAGAATTAGAAGGCATGTTTTTAATGGGATGTTTAATTTAAAAAAATGGTAGTATGTGCTCAGTTAAAGACTTTATTTCAGGGATGCAGCTATTATAATACTGTATTTTATGCATAGTTAGGGCATAATATTAATTTGGCCGTACACAATTCCTCATGCAACCCGGAGCACTTGGAGACATTGCAAACCACAGGAGATAAGATCTGTGTGGTGTTTCTCTACTAAGACATTACTCTTAAATTCTGATGTTTATGTAATGTGTATTTCTAAAAAAATCCAGATTTGTTTCCAAGGCTATGCATGTCCTATTGACATAATCATTTTACACTGCCTTAGTGGAGATTCTTGGAAAGAATTTAGAGGTTATTAAAGTTCTTTGTAAGTCATCTATTCCAAGAACAGGCACCAGAGGGGAAGAAAAAATACCCTTGTTTCCGAAAGAAACAAGTCATAATACAGGACAGAATTTATTTCTACTGCAGTGTGTGCTGTGCTTAGCATTTAAGACTCATTAACAGGGAATCTTATTTCACAGAACTTGGGTTCTGTGTTCACATTGATGGCCAGGAAATACAAGGTAAGGCTTGGTCTCCAACACATTTTTGTGTGTCTTGGTGGAATTTCTGAACTTGAACTTTCTTTTTTTTGCTTTATTTGACATCAATATGTAGATAGTTACATTAAGAAATAATTGAACAGATGAAACAAGTTCGTTTATGGTTTAATTTTTTTTTTTTTTTTTTTTCCAATCAGGTTGTAGACAGACATTTCAAACTGCCTCATGTTTCTAGCAAGCCCCCTAGGATTTCAGGAAGTCTGGTCGACACATCCTACAAAACGCTACGATTTGCACTTAGAGCATCTCTGAAAACAGCACTGTACCGGATAACTACTGTCTTTGGAGAACACTTAAAGTAAGACTTTTTCATGATTGCTTGCTTGCTAAATTTAGCTTTAATTAATATTATCATAGGACCTGTGAGAAGGGAAGTTTGGGCAAAAATCCCTTCAGGTCATTATTCTAACATAGTATTTTAGTATTTTTATTGGTGGAACCTTAAAAAAATTTCATGTAGATATATGGTCCCCCTTAGAAACTTATTATTTATAGATTTCTGGGCAATTTTTCTCAGTGACTTTTCATGAACTTTTTAGCAGCAGTCCATAAATACCACCGGTTAAATAAACCTTAGCTGTTGAAAAGAAAGTAAATCAACTAGAGACAATTGTCTGTTCTGTAGGGAGAGAATCCTGGGAATCCTATGAAGAGTCCAAGTAATCAAATTCCCTTTCTCTGTGGTTGTCTGATGGCTCTTTCTCAGCTACTGTCGCAGCAGGCAGACTCTTGTACTTGGCCTCTGAATATGTGGGACTGAAACTTCCTGCAGTATCTGCCCCTCTCCCCCCATGGGGATGAAATGTTACTCAGTTTGGAAGTGCTAGATACACAGGAGAGACCATTTTAGGAGATTCTTACTTACCTAAATCATTCTTGCAAGTTAAACAATTGCTTGTGTTTAAAGGTAAGGGAATAAGCTAGGTTTCTTGGGACAAGTGTCTTTTAGTAGTAGAAGCTGTTAAGCGTAAGAATTGACAGTTTTAAGGGCTAATACACTTTTTTTTGTCTTTTTCTTGGAACGTGGGTTTTTCCTGCAGCTGGGTTTTCTAAAATTTAGCTTCAGTGTAATTGTTGATTTCAATGTATACTCAATTTTGGCATGACGCTTTATTTTTGTGGTGTGTTACATTTAGTGTAAAATCTTACGTTCTGCATTTGTTGTTTTTAGTGCAGTGCAAGTGTCTACAGAACATAAGAAAAGACTTCAGCAATTCTTGGAATACAAAGAATAAATAACAGCTTTTGATGCAGCTATGGTTGGGTTTTTTTCAACAGTCTTGGTAAGAAGAAAGTGGGACTAATGAGCCTCTTGGCTTTTTGGAAAAGCGTATGGAAGTACTAGTCACAGAGCAAAACTCTTAGAACTGTAGAAGAGCTCTTCTGGGTTTGGATCATCTTTTGTATAATAAAACTTTTCTAAAAATTCATCTTGTCTTCTTTTAATATCACTTACAAATGAGAAAGTGTCCATTCTTATTTTATGTAAGACTCTGACATTTGAGATCATTGGAATTAC